CATGGCCCACTGGGATGTGGACAGCTGTGCCAACACCTGGCCGGTATCTGGCTCTTCAGTGTTTGGAGACAGTGGAAAGATGAGTGACCCAGATGTCCACATCCTAATCTTATGAACCCTGGAACAGATTACCTCGTGTTTCTTATGTAGCAAAGGGTGGTTTGAAGATGCGATTGGTGAAGGCCCTGGAGAGGTGGAAAAGGTCCCAGTCACCTGGTACACCTGGGTGGGCTGTATGAGGGGAGCAAATCATAAAAACGATGTGCTCATGAGAGCAGAGGCCAGAGCAGGGGTCTGAGGAGCTTCCTGCTGTCTGTGAGGTGGGCAAGGCCGAGAGGCCGGAAGTGGGGAGCAAATGGATTGCCCCTGGGGTTTTCAGGGGGTGCTGCCTTGCGTCCCCTCCCCAGAACTGGGAGTCGATAAACCCATGCTGCTTTAAGCTGTTAGGTTTGGGGTAATTCGTTACAGAAGCATGGAGCACAGATGCAGAGGGTTTCCCCAACTAGATGTAGGGTGGTCTCGCGGTTAGCTTAGTGGGAGTGAAGAGAACCCCAAGTTGTCTGATGTTCCCCATCTTACGCCCAAACAGGAAGCCCTGGTTCTATAACAGAAGGCTGAGTATAGTTTTTACTCTTATGGGTAAGAATTCAGATATGAAATTGTTTAAGGAAATCAGAATGATCACATTAAGATTTTTTTGTGTCACAATATGTAACATTTTGGTCCTGATTTTGGAGATTTAAACTATTTGAGCTGCAATTTATAATGTCGATCTAAAATCGTGTCTTTGAATTTTAATTTAGATTTCTGTGGGGCGGGGCTCAGGCCAGAGAGATCGGATGACTACAAAGACTAAGGGACCGCTGGAGCAGCAGCACAGGGCTTCCGGAATGCACGCTGGAGATCAGAGCAGACCTGCAGGAAACAGTCAAGCAGAATGAAGCAGTTACTCTTAGATTTGTTTGCTCCAGCTGTGAGCTCCTCGTGCCAGATAAGCTTGCTTAGCAGCCCGTCTTGTTCCTGTCCTTTCCTCTACCCTAAGCTCCTACACAAATGTTTTCCTTCTGCACCTTTGTTCTCGTGGGTTACAAAGAAAAGGCCAGAGGTTTTGAGGTCAGTGCTGTTTTCCTGAGGCAGTCCCTCTGGGCCTGCTGGGAGTTTCAGCGGAGCTCTGGCTCAGAGTAATTTCTCATTCTCTCTGCTGCGAGAGTCGCACGTTGTGATGTGTGTGTGCATGTGCGTTCTTTTCTGTACTAAGAACTGAACCCAAGGGCTTGAGGATGCTAGGCAAGTGCTCTACTGGTGAACCTTTCTACTTTTATCATGGGACAGGTCTCACCAACTTGCCCAGGCTGGCCTCAGACTTGTGATTCTCCTGCCTCAGTGTCCCCAGTAGATTTGTGATTTTAAGTCAAAGCCATACTGATAATTCTCCCATTTTAGGATATTTAAAAGAATCTTAAGGCCACTAATTTATTTTGTATTTTTGTATTTATAAAAACAATTCGGGTACTCAGAGACTTGTTTTGTCATGTCAGATCCCTGAAGGACTTAAGACCAAAATACAACCCATGAAAAGTATATGTACTACCTAAAATATTTCAAGCCTTTAATGAACTGGGAAATTCTGTTCAGAAGTATTTTTAACGTAATTGCTAGAAACGAGGTGGGTCAATCAGTAAAATAATAGTATTTGTAAGCTGAACTCAAAGGCTTATGAAAGAACTAGGTTTTTGAATTTGTAAATGGAATAGAGTGAAAGGCAATTGTATTTTCTACACACAAACTTCTTGAACCACTCTGTGGCACTCACACCAGTGGCCCAAAAGGCATTCAGTCCTAAATCTAAGGTGACACAGTGCAGATCCCATACAAGAACTCATTTCTGTGCAATTTCCTTTATTTCTTCCCATTGTCTCTGGATGCTGCTGTTACTCCTGACTCGAGTACTCTCTCCTTTAGTCCTTTCTGGGCATCTTTGTGAAGAATAATGTGAAACGAGCTGGGCATCCTCCCAGAACATGTGCCAGGGCCACAGCAAAATGTTCCTGAGATTTAGGGGGATGACTATTTGATATTTTAAAATGGTAGTTTTCCCTGAGAAAGATTAAGTTGTAGGTCTAGAAGTGATTTAACTGTGGATGAATTGATTTTTAGAGAGCAGCCAGATCTCAGTAAGGCTTTGGGCCATTCACAATCCTGGCACAGCTGGCAGGATCAACTCCAAAATGAGTAGAACCCAGCTCAGGCTGAGTAGTGCCAGACTTGACACGTGTGGGCAGTGGGGACAGTGCCAGGGGTTGATTAGACCCTGGCATACCTATAAGGGGCCATCAGGGACTAGAGAGACAATAGTCAAGTTTCAAGGGGACCTGGAGAAGCCTGCTTTTAGTGGACAGACTCGGTAATCTCCATAGTGGACCGGCTTTTCTTAGCCAGAGAAAAGCACAGGGAGAGGGGTAGTGTACTTTTCCTGTGACTACAGTGAGACTGGGGTAACAAAGAACAAGGGACAACTTAATCCTCACAAAGGGAACAAATTAATGGGGATTAAGTCATTCCCCATACCTGGATTCCTGTATTTTTTTGCATTGTCCTCAGCAGATGCTATCTGGCCTTAGGAGCTCTGTGATTGTGAACTCTCCCCACACACCCAGGAAACGTGGAGCTGTCCACTTATTTCCCTGTTCCTGAAGTCACACTGGCCTCAGGACTGTGGGGCCTGTCGTCTGGCCCCCACCAATCTGTATCATCACGGTTGGTCCTCAGCAGAGCGGCTTCCTTCCCTGCTCCGGAAGTCTGGAAGAAGGGCTCTGTCCGATTTAACACAGTGACACAGCCTCCCCTGGCACCGGGCACTGCCTCTCCTTTTCCTCCGCTGGTACATCTGGATTCCCTGTACTCTGCCCTTGATGTTTATTACCTCTGTACCAATCAGATGATAAAAAATTTTCCAACATGTGAGGCAAAGGGACAAAAGTCAGAGGGGAGCACTTTGGAGTACGAAAGGCTTCCATGCCTGGGGAGGGCCAGGCCATGGGCATGGATGGCCACAGGTGGACAGTCAGCTTTGCTACTGTAGAAGAACTGCAGGGCTGTTGTACATGCTGATTTGCTTATTTTCTTTCTTCCAACACTACCAACGTGTAAGCTCCAAAGGACAAGGCATTTCTGTTGGTTTCAGCGGCTGCTTGTGGCAGAAGCCACCATCGTGCTCCTGAGCCATTCTGTCCTTCCCCCTCGAGTGGTGGACCCCTTGCCTGCATTTCCGAGGCGCTGGGCATGCAGCTGTCAGCTACAGCATTGCCCACCTGGTGGGCAGTGGTTTGGGCTATGCAACTAGGAATTACCAGCGGGTCACAGAGTTACGCCTTCTCCTCCACGGCTCCCTGTCACAGAGCGCTCTCGTGGCGAGGATGACCGTGAAGGGACAGTCCGTTTGAGAGTGGCAAGCCACGGGTGACACAGGGCACAGACCCCTACTAGTGTCAGTGTCTGCTCCCTGTGGGTAGTGTCTGAGAAGGGTATGCTCATTGGAGGCTCTCTTTCTCACGGCCTCTGTTACGGGCTGCACCGTGCACCCTCATTCACACATTGAAGCCTGAACCCCCAAAATGACTTTATTTAGACATAGAGCATGTAAAGGAGTAATAAAAGCTGGGTGCAGGGCTGTACACCTATACTCCTACGACTCTAGGAGGCTGAGGCAGAGGGATTGCAAGTTCAAGCCCAGCGTGGGCAACTTGGTGACTTTGCAAGACTCTGTCACAGAAAAGGGCTGAGGATTTAACTTTGTGTCGACAAATAAATGAGAGAGGGAGAGAGGGAGGAATGGATGGAGGGAGAGGGAGAGAGGAAGGGAGATGGGAGAGGGAGAGCCCAGTCACCCCCACCCATGTCTTCACTCATGTGCACAGGGAAGGCCCCCCAAGGACACGCTGAGAAACCCTATCTAAGCTGGAGGGTGCCCCTGCCCAGAAACTAACCTGACTGCACCTAGATCGTGCAGTCTCCACCTCTAGTCCTCCAGACCTGGAGAAAACACATTTCTTTTGTTTAAAGCACCAGCCTGTGGTTGTTACAGCAGCCATGTTAGACTGACAGAATCTTGCCTTCCCCTAATGCACTGCTGTATGCCCAGTGCCTAGAATAGTGCATTAACAGAGGTACCACAAATATTATAGCTTTTCCAACAACAACGCCTTGCCTCTATTTAGGAACCCTCTCCTTTCCTGCGGAAGTGGCCAATCACCCCATTTGGAGGGCACACAGCCCCACCCCTCAACACTGTGATGGTCCAGCAGTGGTCACGAGATCCAGTGCCAGCAAGCCCACCACTCCCTGTTGTGTGTGAGCTTGTACCATGCACCTTACAAAGGCGTGGTCTCCTCACCTATAAAGGGCTGTCACCGGCTGCACTTGCTGGCATGAGGACCAGACGAGGCAATGCGGGGAGGGCCAGCTTCCGCAGTCAGGTTATCGGTGCCTTTGGACTGGCTTAGAAAGCTCTGCCCTCCCTGGACACCATGTGTCTGCCACGAGAGACACAGTGATGCCCCTGGCTGACTTGCAGCCCCTGATCTGCTTGCCAGTTTGTGCCCCATCACGCAGACAGGAGGTAGATGTCCCTGATTTGGGTGATGAAAAGACCAATTTGATGGACAACCTTCTCCTCCTATCTGGCTCTCTAGAACGGCAATGATAATAGATGAAATTAAGGAAATTGGCACTTCTCCTCAACCTAGCAATTTTAAAACCTAGAGTCCATCCTTCCTTCCAGACATCTTTCTCCTTTGCAGTGCCGGGGATTCAACCCAGGGCTTCACGAATGCTAGGTAAATGCTTTACCACTGAGCTCCATCTTCATCGCTCAGATTTTAGTTTGAGACAGGGTCTTGCTAAGTTGCCGAGGTTGGCCTCTAACTTGGAATCCTCCCGCCTGAACCCGAGACAACCTCAACTCCACTGCAGGAGTCCAGAACCATGTGAAACACAAGCAGTTTGGATGTGGTCATGGTATTTATTTGTAGTATGTTCTCACAATGTATTAATAATGGAGAATAACAAGTATTCATACATCGAGTCTGCTTTTCCTGGAGCGCTCTGGAGTTGCAGAGTGTGGCAAGGTTTTCCTCATCTCTTCGGTCTCTCGAAGTGGACAGGATTGCTCAGACCCAAGTGTCTCCGTGGCCACTGGCAAAGGATTCCCTCCAATCAGCAGAAAGATCACAACTTCAGCACTTCCGTGCAGGAAAGAAGTTAAAAAAAAAAGTGGGTTCATGGAAGATCAGAAGGACTCAGGCACCTTGAAGGCCACAGTTCATTTCTTCACACACGACCTGCGAGGACAGGAAAACTGGCAGGGTCGGGGGCTTATGGCCTGAGGGGAAAGTATGTCACTGGTCAATGTCTTCCAGCAAAAGGCCACGCCGATGACACAGAAGCTGATGTTCCACTTCTCCGGGTTTCTGAGGGTGCCGAAGGCCACCACCATGCTGCGCTCCTCTGTCTCGCTACTGGATGTGCTGGTGACAAAACCATGAGATCTCACATTCCCAGTGCTGCTCTGTAAGGAAGCAGGGGTGGAACCCTCCTGGATGGCAGGGGACCAAGGCACCACTGGCTGAGCAGGCACATGGGCAACAGAAACGGCAAGAAAGAAGTCCAGCTCCTCCAGAACGGTGTGTCCAGAAGCAAGAGTGAACAGCAGTTCTCGCACTATAGGGCTGTGTCCACTGGAAACTGCCCCTCCCTTCCCTTTCTATTAAGTGTTTGCATTTTTGAGCCTGGAAATCACTTAAATACATACAATATTAGCACCAAGGCAGCATTTTGTTCCCAGAGATCTCATGAAATGGAATAGATACTTAATACAATTCATAGTTGGTAAGTTTGTGGAATCACTATCTTACTTATTGGCTAACGATATTCTCCTAGGAATGCCAAAAATACCCTTGTATGACTCTCGTAGCACCTTGATGATGGCTAGGTTGTTTTAAAAAACAAAATACAATTTAAGAAAAGTAGCAGTAAAACATTTACAGATAAAAAGTAAACAACAGTGTACCGTGATAACGAAGGACCACTTTTGTCATGAGACTACATATAACGTAGAGTACGTAAAATGCAGTGGTTGGACTGCAAGGGACAAAATAACGCAAAGGCAGTCACAATAAAATCATTTTACGTACAAAAATATTACAGCACAATAAATAATTTCAAACATAAATATTAAATTTTACATCATGAGGATATTTCACAGGTTGAGTGCCCCTTATCCAAAATGCTTGGGCTGAGCAGTATTTCAGAGCTGGGGTTTTCTTAGATTCTGTAATATTTGCAAACATGCAGTGAGAAATCATGGGGACGGGACCCAGGTCTAAGCAGAGTCCACTGACGTTTCACATGCACCTGATACATACAGCCTGATGGTGATTTTATACAGTATTTTGCATGATTTTGCTCCCAAAACAAAGTTCCACGATGCGGAATATTCTGCTTATAGTATTGTGTTGTTTTGCAGCATTTTAGACTTCAGATTTGTGGATCAGGGGCGCTCAACCTGTGTAAAAATGTATTTATATATGTGCATATGTACATACTTGCACGCACACACTCACGCACACGCACACGTGGCCTCGCACACGCACACGCACCCCACATAAGGCGGAGGTATATTGCATCACGATCCTTCATCCAGCCCTTTGTGCTTCCTCTCCAGAGCCACCTGAAACAAGCAAACCAGGAAATGTGAGCCTTCTGCCTGGACGAGGCAGCTAGCCACATGCAATTTTACAGTAACGCTGTGATTTTGTCCAGATCTGAAAAGCAGGTTTTTGTTTTGCTGTAAGAAGCACGGAAGTCTCAGGGAAGCAATCAGTAATGAAATAAAACTTCAGTACCACTCCGAAAGTCTCTCAACAGGGAGCATATGCAAAAATTCAGGTGCGCTGGGTGTATCTCCTCCCAGTCCGTCTCAGTGTACATCTGTATACGTGAACACTGTGTGGGTGCACCCACTCGTGACGTTCACACACGTGTGCATGGCCGACCCCATCGGGTGTGAACACGCATCTCCTGACCATCGCTGGGTGAGCTCGTGCTAAGCTGTTGTTTGAGTTCCTGGCAGTATCTCCCCAGACGCCCCGTGAGTCAGGGCCCTGCACACAGACACACACCTCTGGGCCCCAGAGAGCAGACGAGCAGGTGGGGCCTGGGACTCTGACACAGGCCTGGGGATTTGTGCCCCAGGGTGAAGGACAACCGCCCCAGTCGTGTGAGGATGGGTACGCGGGGCCGGAGCACTGCAGAGGAGCAGCCGGCGGGCACAAGTGACCCTCTGCTCACACTCACCACCAGGCCAGAGGGAGGCGGGGACAGGCGTGGACGGACGTACCTCACTACAGTACCCGCACCTCCAGGCCGGTGCCCGAGGACGGTGTGCACTTCCCACAGTAGCCGCCACATTTCCCCACGACACGGGTGCCGTCCTGCAGAGAGAAGCGGAGCTCAGACCGCCTGCCTGGCCGGGGTTTTGGGAAACCATCTCTGCCCACACAGTTGGACTGAAATGATGTGGCCCGCGTGGTGCTCACATGTTTCAATGGTTGAGCAAAAGCACACCTAGTATTTCTTGACACACAAACGACGTGAGACTCAAGTTCCAGAGTCCATGGCTGAAGCCTTACCGTAACACAGCCGGCTCCTTCATTTACCACAGGTCCATGGCTGCGGTCAGAGCGGAGTAACGGGACCGCGGGGCTTGGTGACTCTTGTGGCTTCAGCTCAAGGCACACAAACCATGGCACCAGTTCTGCTCTGACAGTGGTTTGAGTGCCTGTGTGCTGCCACATCCCAACATGTGACTCATTTGCTTGCCAGCAGGGTAGACCATGGGATAATCAAGGACAGGAGAAAGGTGAGGCCTGAATGCTGCGCTCTCAGAGTGGGGCTGCGGCTGTAGCTCAGTGCTGGCCTGGCATGCACAAAGCCTGGGGTTCAATCCTACTAGCAAACAAACCAGCGAGCCTCCAACTGGAAGCTTGCACTTGAAGATACAATGGCACGTGGACTATTCTGTTACCAAATTCAAACCACAGTGCTGTGTTTACCATGTGGTCCGACAGGTACAGTAAAGAACACAGTGAACACCAACACTACCAAACCAAGCACGCCAATTCCCAGGGCACAGGCAAGCCATGGTCAGAAATTTATAAAGTTTACCATGCAGCATCTCGCCACAGCATGATTCTTTTCCAAAGATTAAAAAAAATGAGAATAAGTAAGTTTCACTCACAAGTAATGTTATGCTATTTTAACACTTTGCACGCAGTAAAATGTTAAACAGGAACACCTCTACTCCACACACATTTCCAGTGGCTGTATTTTCAGAGTTCAAGCAGCAGTTCTACCAGTGCGTTCTGGACTTTAGTGTGGTGGGAAGGAAATGTTCGTATTTCAAAATCCATTAAACTAGGCGATGGGGGAGCTTCCCTTTCACTTTCAATTGTGTGATTAATCTGCAATGTAATGCCATGGAAAAGGCAACTAACAAGGGAAAACTCTTAGCAGAATTCTTTAAATGCCTGCTAAGCCATGCGTATACTCAAGCAGTTCTACAGCCATGGACAGAGACAGCACCTGACAACACCAACCCACGGGAAGTTATTTAGGAAGAGAAAATCTCCTTTCATATCTGCATCAGCAGAAAAACATCTACAATAAAGGAGAGCACTAATTAAGCTATTATTTTCTTCTCCCAATAGCCCATTCTTCTCATTAGTATATTTGTAGTGTAAAAATTATATTCGAGTATTATACAATGAATTTAACAAAACAATTGCATATTTTTCTCTCTTGATGTGTAAATACATATATAATATCGTCGATTTTGCCTGTTGGCCCTCAAAGACCAGGATATTTATTTTCTGGCCCTTCATAAAAAAATGTCCTGACCCCTGTCCTAAAGATCCACACGTCTGTCTTTTTCTCTCAATCACCTTGGAGGGCTCTTTCCCTATACCTGCATTTCTTTGGTTGCTCATCTGATGGTTCCCTTACACAGCCTGGCAAAAGCTGCAGAACCCAATAAAAGGCCACTTCTGCTGAGAAGCCCTCCTGGCTCAGCTGTTGTGACTGGGTAATTCTTCAACATCTTGTTGAAATACGTTGAGTATCTGGGGTCTCGCACAGTGTATGGCACATAATTGTACAATAAGTGAATGAACAAAAGGAGAAGGCTGAGGCTGAGCTCTTCTTTTCGGACTGCAAAATGCTGCCCCGCTAACGAGCTCCCCTTATGTTTCACCACACCATGAGGAGCCCCTGCCTACCTGTGGCATCATCCCACTGTGCGCATTCCCACACCTCTTCATCCCTCTCCTCTCTCCCTGCACAACAGCTCACATTTTCTGCTCCCGGGAATAACACTACGATGAGCGCATTTGTGCTTAAATTTCTGGCTAGCTTTGGGCTGCATTTTATGTCGAGGGATGAAAATTTGGTTCACACAGCCACGCTGTAAAGTCTCTTGAGAACAACAGATAATCCCTTTTTGAAAGAAAGACTGAGAGAGACAGAGGGAAGAAAGTCTTTTTTTTAAAAAGGAAAGTGAGTGCTAAATAACAACAAAGAGAACAGAATGCCCTCAGTTGTGGGTGAGCCTGAGCTGAGCGGGGAGAGCTGGCATCGACCCTATAGTGGCTCAGACCCAAGGCCGAGCAATGCTGGGTGTGTCCATCGCTGACCGACCACAGCCCAGCCCAGGAGTCATCGCTGTCACCAGCCAGACGTGATGCCAGGACTTTCTCCCCGAAGTTGTGGGCTGGTGGCCTCCGGACGCAGATGTGTGAGGAGCACCTCCTGAGCAGCACCAAAGATGCTTTACCCACACTTGCCTTGCCAGAAGAGGGGTTACCTTGAGTCGCATTGCCTGGGTTGCTACTGCCTCTTTAAATGAGCTTTGTATGCCTCCACTTCCTGGGCACCTGCGGAATGGGAATAATAATCACCTCCCCATAAACTTGCTGTAGATGAGGAAACAAAGCCTAAGCGCCCAGCGAGGGGCACGGCCTGAAGGGTGCGAGGCCCCGCGTGCTGCTGTCATTCCCATAAGGGCACCGTATGCTGGACCCCATCACAGCTGCTTCATGAAGATGAGAAAAAGTCTAATTCTAACATCATGAAATTAAACAAATAAAGAAGATTCTGGCCATCCGGCAGTCATGCCATCTCCTGAACCGGAACTCTAGTCCAATGTGGATAAAAGCTGAAGAAATTTTTATTTTATTACAAGAATTTATAAAACCACAGTTGAGCAAACAAAGAAGATGAACACTACTATTGGGGACAGCATCTCTTTCAGAAAAGAGAGAGCATGTACAAGCCTAAAGCATGCAACGAATCACTATTTCTTCATTAAAGCAGGCTTTCTAGAATTCCTTTTAATGAATATGTTGTCGGTCGACTTCCAGTACATGTAAGTAAAATGAATCAATCTTGGTTCCATCATAAAAACCCAATTACACACAGGAAACAGCTTGAATTTCTCACGTTTCATGTATCCTTGTTTTTCCCCAGTCAATGAGGCTGGGGGTTCGCAGGGGCTCAGGGAGCCGGCACGTCAGGTCAAAGTCTGGGGAGCACGCTGTGGGTAGCGTGACAGGCTGTGGGCCGGGGGCACCTCGCTAAGAAAACCCACGGGACATGCCTCAATGCGTGCAACATTTTAAGGCCTAAAATCAAGGGTTAGGGTCAAAACCAGGTGCAATAAAATTTGTCCTTGAGTTTCCCTAAAATCTCCCATAAAACACTACACAGCCCTTTGTCAGTCGTGTGTGTACAAACACACGTACAGAAGTCAGCTGATTTCTGCAGGAGCTACAGGCTGCGATGTACGCGCGTGCACGTACACACACACACACACACACACACACACACACACAGGCACAAGGGCACAAAACGCCTCGCGCGTGGTTTTGCATGTGGTGGGCAGGCTCTCTGGCTTGACCGTGGCTAGGAGCCAGTCCCTGTCGAAAGCAGAACTGACGGCGTGTGCTCGCGCGTGCACATGTAAGCACACACACGTCTTTCCGTGTGCACGCACTCCCTACCGCAGGCTGCCTTCTTGCCCCCCGCTGCTCATGGACCGTGGGCCTCCGCTTTAGGGACCACAGCGTCATGAATCTCTCACTTCACAGCCACCCGATCTACAGCCCTTTCTTCTTGCAGGCGGCCGGGGCAGGAGCTGGAGCTGAGTCCCTCTGCCACACAGGGCAGGGCGGCCAAAGTGCAGAGCCTGGAGAAGGGCCTGGGCACTGGGAGGTTAGAACACAAACGCACTTTGCCGAGGGCTTCAGCCATTTAAAGTGCAGTTTTCCCCGGGAAACAGCTTCTCTCGCCGCTTAGCCGTTTAAGGTGGAAGCGGTCAGTTTCATGAATGTGACGTACTCCACAGAGAAAGGTGCTGCAACTCTGTGAGTTTACCAGTGAAGTCCACTTCTTAGGGTCGGGCCGCCACACCCCGGCACACACCCAGAGCCCCCCACCGCCCAGCCTCCGGGCGCAGCCCTCAGCCCTCGTCCCCAGCCTCCTGACAAACCTCAGGGCTGCAGAGAACTGATACCATCTCTCTCTTTTTCCTTTTAGCATTTTTTAACATTATTCTTTTTCTATGGCGCTATTAAGGCAGGGCCGTGGCGCCCGTTCCCCGCAAGGTGGCGCTCCCGACCGACTCATCTGGTTCCCGCCGGACACAGCGGCGGGGTCACGCACATTTCAGAACATCTTGCACACATGGAAAACAACCCATAAGGTTTAAGTCCGGAGGGAGGGACACTATTTGGGGCACATTCTGGAGCACCTATTTCTCAGCGATTTATTCCTTTCAGTGCTGTGCTGGGGAAAACATAATGATTACACTAGGAGCAGTCAATCCTGGCTAATCAGATTGGAGGTCAGGGCTTAGCTTAGGAAGCAAGGTAGCCCCCCACCTCACCCCCAGACATATTCAACCCTGGCAGTTAAAGAAACAGATTTTCCCAGGAAGTCAAAATTGAACATCTTTCTTCCTGGGGTGGGAGTGGGCACCCTACTGCTTTATCTTAATTTTTTTTTTTTTTTTTTTTGGTACCAGGGATCAAACTTGGGCCCTCGCGCTTGTGAAGCAGGCGCTGGAATCACTGAGCTAAATCCCCAGCACTATCTTAAAATTTTGACTAGATAAATAGTTGCCACATTCAGCAAATAAAAATAAGGTTAAATTTGGATTTCAGACAACATAAACTGTACTTTTAAAAATACAAGTATGTCCCATCCAATCTCCAAGACACATTACAAAATCTGCATTGCTTATTTGGGGTTGAAGTTTAACCTGGCTGTACTGTATTTAGCAACTCTGTTTTAAAAGAACAACCACTCCCCAGGTCTCTTCCCGTCCTACCCACAGGGGACTCCAAGGCAGCCTCACAGGAAGGGGAGCCTCCTTCCTGCCTCCCACCCCACCAGTCAGGATCCTGTTGCGGCTACTGGAGCCCACAGGGGAGGCTGGAGGGCGGGGGTCTCAGCCTCACCTGTGGGTCTGACACCCCCACCCTGCCAGGTCTCTGCCCTGCTTCTGACTCCACTGATCTGAGTGAGCAGAGCCTGGGCTTCCAGTGCACACCCGGGAGGAGCCGCACAGACCAGGGCCTTGGGCAGCCCCCCTACCCCACCTCACACCTTAGGTGCAGCGGACCACACCGCCACAGCCATGGCTCATCCTGGAGACTGTGGAACACTTATCTGCCATGCCGCCCCCTCCCTCCAGGCCCAGGGGAGGGCCACGGTCCATAAAGAAGGAGAGAAACAGCCTTTTCTCTCCATTCACAATGAGCCCCTGCGGAATGGAGCGAGGGTGTCTGGGCCACGCAGGTGATGGTCCCTGCCTGCTCTGGGTCCTTGGGGCAGTGGCCCCTCACCGGGTGCTGGGAACAGCTCAGAAGCTCAACAAGGCACTGGGAAACGATCTTCCTCACAGCCCAACAGGCTGCGGACGCAGAAAGCTTGTCCTCTGGGCACCATGGGCACAGGGCAGGGAGGAAGGAGAGGAAGGAAAGAAAAGAGAAAGGAGGACAGGAGTAAGAGAGGGAGGAAAGGAGGAGGGAGGGCGGCCCCCCAGCCCGCCGGCGGCCTTACCGGGGCCCTCTTGATGTCCGACACAGCGTAATTCCCTTGCGATATCCACCTGGCCGACTCGGTCACGGACAGGCCGGTCCCGTCCAGGTTGATGCTGAAGCGACCCTGGAACACAGGCGCGCGGGGACTCAGGCTGCGGTCGCAGGGAGGGGACCGGGCGAGGCTGATGCGTCCTGGTGGCGGCTCCTGACCCAGAGATTTCTGCTTTGTCGGCCAAGTACCTTCGTGCACCATCTCAGCGAGGCTCTCCCAGGGAGCTTTCCCGACAGGTGGGGAAACTGAGGCCCGCGAGGCGATTAGCTCCTTGCGGCTGCAACAAGAGTCCTGACATCAAAGTCCTCGGTCCCACTACCCCATTTCGGCCTCCCTAGCGCGGCAGTCCTCTTGTTGCTCACAATTACCAGATTCCTTCGGGAACAACATGGCACCATGTAATTTTGCTAACAAGGTCTCGCTGCCAGCGCGGGAGCGCAGCGTGAACCCAGCGGACGGCAGGGGGCGCGCGCGGCCTGACCGAGGAGCTGGGTTCCAGCCAGGCGGCCTGTGGGGCGCTGTGCTTCCTGCTGGGGAGGCCAAGCCAGGCCAGCTCTCTCCAGTGGCTCCATTAAGGGCCTGCCAGTTTCCTCCTGGAGCCTACGGGCCCTGGGCAGAGTGGGGCCACCTCAGGACGGCAGGAAGTCCGCCGGCACACACCAGAGACACCGGTCCTGCTGCAGTGTCTGAGTCCCAGGTGCGGGCCTCCCTCCCAGGACGCCAGGGCCAGCCCAGCTTCGAGCAGTCCGGTCCTAACGTTCCTAACGTACAGAAAGAAGCACTAGACTCGGTCTCCTGAGCACTGTTCCTGGCTCTCGTACTCCCTGAACGAGACCCTGCTGGACCCTCAGTTTCCCAGCACCAAGTGAGGACAAACCAGTCTTGTACAGAGGTGACCCAGCCCACCCTGGGCCTCATGCTGGATGGTTTTGCCTTCAGGGGGAGGTGGGCAAGGTCTGGGGCATTTCTGGCTGTCCTAGCGGTGGCCATGGTGCTGTGGCTCACAGGGCAGATGGATTTGCCCCAGGGTGCTGATGGCCTGGACCACCCAGTGGGTCTTCCTGCCCCTGGGAAAGGGGCTGTGAGACCACACCTGTGAACAGGGCCTAGACAGGCCTGAGCTCACTCACTCCTCAGCAGCAGAGCAGGAGCTGCTGAGCACTCCTCCCGGGACTATTTTCCTGACAACACTGCAGATGCATGAGTAGCTCTCTGTGAGTGCCACACACCCGGGTATTTAGGCTGGGGCTGCACCGAGCCCCCCAACCCTGCATCCTCGGACGCTGGGCCCTGCTGCTGCCTTACCAGCCCTGGCTGTCACTCCTACCCAGAGAAGCAAGTCCCTCTGTCACCAGGCTGACTCCCACTGCAGGAAAAAGCATTTTCAGGACCAGTCAGTGAGAGACATGGGAGGGTTTCTTAGGCAGCAAGTCAAACTCATGCTCAGGAGCGGGTCATTTAGAGAAAGAGGAGCGTTATGATGGGGCTGAGACCGTCTTCGGGTAGGATGGGTGGGCTAGGGTGTGGGTCCCTACGGTCTGGCAGATCTGCTTCCATAAGGATCAGTGGATTTTACAGGTAAAAAGAGGCGGTCTATTCACAGGTGGAAAAGGCTGCTTTGCCAGTGAGAGCGGATTTCCCAGGCTTATTGTATCTTGGGAGAAGAGAGAAAAACGAAAACATTTAAACTAGGCTTGTTTCCTGAAGCCATGGTTTTTCTTACAAGTACAATGTAGAAATTCAGATTTTCCTTGTCTCCTTTTTACCTTTTACTTCTCCTATCCTGCCTCCCCACCATGCAGAATTCCAGGCCACACGGGGCTGAAGGACCTCTCTCCCCGCTCCTGTCCCACAGCCAGGGTTTCAGTGTCACCTCCTCTGAGGGAGAAGGGATGCAGAGGCCAGACCCCCGGCCTGGCATCGTGCTGACTACGCCCCGGCTGAGGGAGTCTCCTGGGCTGCTCCTCTTGGCAGGTGACAGACCCACTGCAGCAGCAAACGGTCCTCCTGCCTGTTCTGGCCAGGGAGTGCTTGCATCTCCAGCAAATGGCTGGCTGATTATCAGCACTCTAAAAGCGGAGGGGCATCAGCAGAGGAAAGGTCACCTATGCTTCTCTGCTGCATTCTGGGACATCTTCTCCCCACCCCCGTCCTTATCATCAGAGTCTAGAAGGCATCAGAGTCATAGCCAGAGTTGGTGCAGATTTAAAAGAGGGAAAGTAATTTAGTTATGCTCTGAAAGGTTTGCCATCACTGGCCTGGATAGTCTGTGAAGGTTTGCAAAAGGTGTGCTCGGACCAAAGAGGGATCCTGTCCTCTGCTTGGACCAGTTAATACTGCAGAAATCTCCCCTGGGGAAAGAATCAGAAATCCCTATCTTACAACATGTCAAGCAGGCTTGTCAATCCTGGCCTCTCCAGAGTGCCCACCCTGTGGACCGGGCAGTGACACAAACTCTACGCCTGCCATTGCCTCACTGCTATGTCCTAGGGATGCGAGCACATTCCCTGGAGCTGGAATGGCGGACACCAGCGTCTGTAGAGTGCTGCAGCAGTGGTCAGATACCCTCCCTCTGCTGCCTGCAAGGGGAATGCTCTCAGGAGCTCATCCCTACCAGAATGGAACCCCCAAGCCAGGAGCCCACCCACCAGCCTGGTGAGGAGGAGAGTGGCTCTCCAACACTGAACACCAAACACCGCAGCCCTTCTCATCGGGGGCAGCTGGTGCTCTGCAAATGTCTAAGGCACAGCCAGGGACCCAGCAGGCTTGAAGAGCAGCTTGTGCAAAACAAATTAGCTTCTCCCTGGCTTTGGGTTTCCCCACTTAGCAGGTACTTCGTTGTGAGTGCTTAGCAGTCAGTCAGGCCATTTGTTTCTGAGTTATTAAACTAAATGAATGCAAATTACCTTTCATTTACCTAAGCTTCCCAAAGGATGTGCTCAGAGAAACAAGAAGGTCCTGTGGCCAGGGCCAACCTAGTGGCTATACAAATGCAGCCCAGAGATGGGGTGTCTGAAACATCAGGGCCCTGAAGAAACTTGTACTTCAAAAGTCTTCCCTTCTGGGGTCAGGAGCAAAGGCCTTTTTTTTTTAACCTTTTCATCCTTTGCTTATTGTCTTTCTCCTTTGAGAACTTCCTTTTCCCCTCTCTAAAATGTTTAGCAATGCTTTTCTAAAGCTCACTAAAAAGAGCATTCATGTGTTTGTCTTTGACCTGACTCTGAGGCTGGGGTGAATCCATCTGTCCCCCAGAGACTGCCTAGGATTTGGAATACATCATCTGTCCCAATCTAGACTCAGAGCAAAGCCAGAAATTCCTAAGCCCAGAGATGAACAACAGCTCTGTGAAGACCCGGAGAAAACAAAAGCAAAAACCAACTGAGGCCCAGTTCTGTCCAGAATCAGTACATTCTCCATGTTTATCCTGTTTTCCAAGTTTGGAAATTTCCTGCAAAGATCACTGCTTACTCTGCAGAATGAGCCAGGGAAGATGATTCTAGCATGTTCCGAAGCCATGGCGAAGAGGCCAGGGCGTGCGGAATGGCCCCGTGGGAGCCATCAGCAGAAGACAGTGGACTTCCACTTCTGGGCTGATGGACCTACACGGGACTTTCGGACTGGTGCTGGAGCACTTCTAGGATGCACTATTACATTACGGTTTACTGTTCCTGCTTCTTTCTCCCACTGAGCGATAAACTCCCCAGGGGAGGGACACCCATGTGGCCCAGGGCACGGCACACAGCACAGATTTCTGTGCAGAAATGTCAGCTGATCTGAGACTAGGATGCAGGCACGGAGGCTCAGGACTCCACGGAAACCCATATCGGTCTTGCATATTTGGGGACCTCTGGGCCCAATATTTATTTCTTTAAAAAATTACCAATTCACTCCACTAATAATTTTTTTAAAAGTCCTCCCGAGTCTTTTTTTTTCTACATATAATACTGTTTTAAAACTCAGGAGCAGGAGCTTTAGGTCAGTACTACAGCAGGTGTTCAGCATGCACGAGGCCTTGGTTCACTCCCCTGTGCTGCAAAACAAATAGAAATCCCCAAACACATAGACGGGGTCACGCTGCGTGTGTGCTCTGAGTCTCCCTTTTGCCACCCGATCCCGCTCAGCGGTTGGTGATAGGGTGAATGGGCCACTTGCACTGGCTTCAGAGTTAACCAGGGACCACCCTTCTCAATCTCTGCTTCTCGACCTACTCCTGGCAGTGGAGATCAATCAGGAGACAGTGCACGGACCCCATGGAAGTCAGCACTTCCTTCCAAGTAGGGCTGGTGCTGGAGAGGCGGTCACCGAGTCCTTACCTGGGCTGCTGACTAGCTGTTCACCGCACCCGAGTCACGATTTGTGAAGCCAAGCCCTTGCCATGTTTCCAAGGTTTTACCATTTACCCGATGCCTCTTGCTGAATGCAGGAGTGGGCACGCAGCTGTGACCCCTGAGGAACCACCCTGAGGGCGGAATCACTGAGAGGCCTGATATACGTGGCCACGCAGAGCAGCAGAGCAGCTGTCCCAGCCGCTCCCCGGGGAGCAATCCCTGGAGGCCCGGTCCGAGGACCTACCTGCGGACACTTGGCAGCACTGTAGCAGTCCCCGGCGGTGGCAAAAGGGACAGGATGTCCTTCACTTGTCCTTGCAAACTGTAAGTCTGTAGCTGCAGGGTGGGGAAAGGGTTAAAGGAGAGGGTGAAAGATGCAAGGAAAGGACAGGATATCCACAGGAGACGGGGGAGGAAGGAGAACAGGAGAAATAAGAAATGGGAGAGAAAGAAACAATTTGAAATATTAGAGAGCAAGTGGATCCAGATGTGTGCTTACATTTTCCTCATTACATCCGTGGTTCTGAGGGCTTCCTTCTCTGGGTTTTATCAGCACTGACTCCGCACAGCATGGAAGCCAAAAGGGCTTAGTGTGACTTTGGAATCGATTCCTACATAAGTAAACATGCGAACTGCCTCCCGTAAGTGTAGTGTAATTGGACAATCATGAACATGAGCCTCCTGTCCCATGGCGTCTCAGGCTGGGGAGGGGGCAGGGAGCCAGGCAGGCTACTCAGCGGCTGTCCCTGAGGTCCATCTGTCCTCCTGTGGCCCAGGCACCGTTCCTGCCAAAATGCGGAGCACTTAGAACTCACATCTTGAAATTATTAACAGCCGTTTCTCAAGCTCGGGGTGAGCATGGAGCTGGAAAGAAAGGCCAGTACGAATGACGCTGACCCAGCTCCTCTTAACCCTGCTGTTGCTGAGAGCAGCTCTGCTGATGCAGAGAATCAGCCCGAGGCCCGCGGAAGCATGCGCTGGCTGCCTGGGTGCCCCGTACCGGGGAGACGGCCAAGGCTGGCTCTTCCGGCAGTCACCACACTGCATGGGGACCCATGCCCGGCCAGTGAAAGCGCTCCCACCACGTTGTGGGGCTGAGCTGGCCCTTCTCCAAGGGGAGAAGCTGCAGCCCCTCTGCCTTTAACCCTGATCAGCCTACCCGAAGGCAATTAAACATAGTCTGGCAGAAATCGAGTTTAATCTACCACAGGAGGAAAACAATGAGATATTATGGGTTCAGCGCTGATGAGGAAAAATTAATTATTCATTATTTCTGTTTTCCTCTATTCAGGGGAACACGCTAGACATTTCAGCTGTCTGCAGCTGCTCCCGTGATTAACGTGCCTCACAGAAATGTTGAGTCTCGCGGAGTGTGAAGCAGCTCGCACTGGTTTGTAAGGGGCTCTGGGCTCATTTCTCTTCTGTAACCCACAGTCCAGCACTTAGTTTCGCCTGTGTAGCAAGTGTGCTGTGCTGTAGGGCTGGGCGACTCGCCCTGCGAATGGCTCAGCTTTGGGGTTTCCTGTCTGCTGTTTTTCCTTGCCCTAGAAGACTCTGCTTCTATCTCTGCCCCACCTCCCTTGCCTGACTCACCCCTTCTGGGCCATAAGGTCCTAGTGTCACAGTCGTGTTTTCTGGGGGCTGCCCTGACCCCACACTGCAATGACGCCTCCTTTGGAGGCAGCAGCTGCCCTGTGCCGGCTGCCTGACAGGAGCCGGGGACACTGCGGTGGACACAGGCCCGAGTCTGCCTGTGGACGTCAGCATGGGACCTGAGCCCGGCCCTCGCTCCTCTCCACACCACAGCTCGGCCCCGGCCACCTGCAGAGCACGTGTGCTGCCGAAGCCAGCGCAGGGGGAACTCACTTATGATCTGCATGCTGCCCAGGTCGATCCTGATTTTCTGGAAGCTGGAGAGCCCCGCTGCCGTGTAGTCCTTCCGGCACCGGCAGTCATCTCGGCGGCTCCCGTTGTAGGGGCATTCTGTTGGGTTGTGCAACCTGAGTTACGGAGAGAGGTCTGAGCAAGGTGCGAAAGTTCTCCTCGCTGTCTCCAGATGCCCAGGCTCTCCTGAGCCGGGTGTCCTACCTGTGCCCGTAAACCTCGGAGAAATTCTCCGAGTCCCCGTGAATGAGGCTCACATATTCCTTGGGGTGGCTGGACTGCATTCCCGCACAGAATATCTGAAAGACGGACCAGAAGTCACCAAGGGAGAGTGCCCCGGAAACAACACCACAGGAGCCAGCGTTCTCAAAAGAATAGCTGATATGTGACAGTCACCTTTAGGAGCTTTCCTCTAACGATCAGGACATATTCCCCGTCTTCACTGGCTCCGCTGAGGTCTCTGACTTCCTTGCAGTTCTGAGGCACCTCACCTGTCAGATACAACAACAAGGACAGAGAGTGAGGTCCGGAGGCCTATGGGGCAGCCACACCATTCACAGGTCTCTGCAAAGACAATCTGCATGTCAAAAGATGGCGGGCAAATAAATGAGCAAAGAAACGCAGCTCTCCGAGCTAGGGAAGGGTGGCTTCAGCGGTGACTTACAGTTGTAAGCACTGTGGCAGGTTTTCTGTTCTTCTGGTTTCAAGTCAGCTGGACACAAGTGGCTGGGTTGGTCCTCATTGGTTAAACACTGCACGGACCTGTGCATCTCTCCAACGCCACAAGACACGGAGCACTGCAGGGCAAGTCAGGGTCAGAGGCAGCACCGGGCTCATGAGGGGGTGACATTCCTGGCCCCATGGAGCTGGTACTCAGCGAGTGCTTGCCGTGGAGCCGTCTCCAAGCCAAGCATCATGCGTACATATTTATGCACATACACACAGGCATGTAAAGGAGGTATACAATACAGGTGTTCAGAATTACACATAAATATACGTACACACCAGCATGATCAATCCTGAGACAACAAATATTTTAATACATATCATAGTAAAGGACCCACTGCCACTAATCTCCCTCAAAATATTCCCCTCAATTCTCAAGCTCACTTAGCAGCCCTGCCACCTCCTAAAGCAGTTCTGGGAGTGCTCTTCCATGAGGGTCTCTACAAGGAGTGACAGAAAACAGTGAGTGCAGTTGCCAAGCGCCATCCAACAGAAGAGCAGGCGCGTAAAAGCATGGTGGTGAGTCTCATCCGTTCACTGGATCTGACACTGTGTGGCTTCCAGCTCTTCCCCAAAGTCAAAATGACTGTGAAAGATATACGTTTTGAATTGATTCAGGACACTGAGGCAGCCACGATACTGCAACTAAAGACACTCATGAAAGAGGACTTCTGGAACTTCTCCAGAAAGCGGCAAGGACAATAGGAGAGGTGTGTTGAGGGTAGGAGGCGGATTCTGAGGAAGGTTCACGGCGATGTATCTTTTACTATAATACATTTTAATACATTTAAACATTCACGGTATTTTTCTGTCACAGCTATACACACTCATTTTTTTTCCATCCCAGATGCACATTACCCTCTGAGATAGAACTATTATCTTATTTTGCAGGTAGGAGACTGAGGCTAACATGTTAAGGAATTCGCTCAAGGTCATGACAGAGCTAGAATCCATACCTAGTAACTTTCAACTTTTGGCAGTGACTATTCAAGATTGAGACCGTCAGAGCCCAAAGCCAGGAGGCTGTGGCAATTTTCTGGGGCAGACTTTTGAACTGTTCTGTCTTGCTGTGCCCCTAATTCAGTGACATTCTCCCAACGAACGTCAATGAGAATATGTAGACTTCTTAGCAATAGAAGCAGCAAAGCTCATCCTGTGCAGCTCTTATTTAGTGCTAGATTCTCAGTGCTTTTCAAGACGGAGACAGAGCATCTGTACCATGCAATCTGCTTGTGATCTAAGTGGCTGCCTACATAGCAGCTCATCGAATGCCATGGCGCCCATGCTGTAGACGAGGACCCTGTGACAGGAAGGACCCACCCCAGGCCTTTCCCGGGAAGGTGTGGACACAGGGGCAGCTCCAGGCTATGGCTCTGGAGCCCGCACTCTAAGCACCGGGCCGCCTGTCCCTTCTCTTCCTGTCACCGGGTCAAGTCGCTGACAGCAGGGCAGCCGGTCTCGGATAGCTCTCAAGTTTGGCAACTTAAGCATGCACTTACGCTCCCCCAGTTGCCAACCCTCCAGGTGGCCAGGACGGGACACTCCTGCAGGTAGCAGGGCTGGACACTGGGCGGCTGTGTGCCCGGACAGTGGACTGTGGTTTGGTAGCTGTACTCGTAGTTCTCCTTCCCGGTGTAAATCTCGCTGCAGGAGACCAGCCGTTGTTTGTAGCCCTTTCCGCAGGTCACTGAGCACTGGAGAGAGAGGGGCCAAAGGGCTGTCCATGCTGCTCCAGGGCAGAAAGCTAGGCTGCCGCCCGCACGCGCCTGGGCGCTCAGGGACAGCAGCCGGCGGGGCCTCCGGGGGAGGCCTTTTCTCTGGGTGGATGTCAAGGGGCCAGGCAGGGGAGGGGCCCTGGCTGTCAGCAAACTGCTCCACCAAACCACAAGGCCCACACCAGGGAAGCCACTGAATGTCCAGCGGAAGAGGAGCTGGCAGCCGGCCCTGAGCAGCACTGCAGTGTGGAATCCAAGCCCTGGGCCCAGGGGCGTGGGGCTGACCTCCTCCCCTCCCCTTTCCATCTCTCTCCCAGGCGAGGTATTTTTTAAGAATTATCTTTGAAAAGCAAACAAAATTTATTCAGCATGAAGGCCTGCCTTTTATTCTGACGTTAGAGCTCTTTGACGTTTTGTTACAATGTCTTGTTTTTTTTTGTTTTTTGTTTTTGTCTTTTAATAAAAAAGCAGTGCACGTTAGGTATAGAGAGTGCTGGGTTTGTTTTGTCTCACTGGCACGTCTGTGTACTTTAGTTTGTTTACTCTTTTTCTCCTTCCTTCACCCTCCCTCTAATCCTCCTCTTCACTCTAATAGTCTTTAATAGTCTTCCTTTTACTCTCCTGTCATCTCTCCTTTTTAAAAAATTCCACATAGGAAAAATATGCATTATCTGTCCTTTTGATTCTGCTTGTTGTGCTTAATATGATGTGCTCCACGCCCACCCCTTTTCTGCAAGCGGCAGGATCCCGCTTTTCCTGGGCCAACAGCGCCCCACTGCGTGTGTGCACACCTTCCTCGTGCGTTCTTCTGCTTCCTGGAGCCCAGGCCGTTCCCACAGCTTGGCCATCGTGAGATGTGCTCGCCGACGCGGGTCCGTGTGGCGGCGTCACTGCAACACGTGCCTGCTCTCTGGGGAACGTGCCAAGGAGGGGCCGGGCCAGTGGTGTCTCTAGCTTGGGTCACTGAGGAGCCGCCACGCCGATCTCCTTGTGGCCATACTGATTCGCAGTCCCACCAAGGGTGCAGAAGGTCCCTACCCCACCCACACCCCACCAGCCTTCAGTACTTGTTTTCTTTTTTTTGGTAGTGGGGATCGAACTCGGGTCCTTATGCTTTGAGGCAGGCGGTGAACGACTGAGCTAAAACTCCGGCCCTGCTTTTGCTTTCCTGATGCCGGCCATCCTGACTCGGATAAGATGGAATCTCAGCGTAGCTCTGATTTACATTTCCCTGGCTACAGATGGTGCACATTGTTTCATCTATTTCTTGGCCACTTGTACTTCTTCTTTTGAGAAGTGTCTGCTCAATTCATTTGGTTATTGAGTGATTTGTTCTGTTGCTGCTGGTGAAGATTCTCTCCCATTCTTTTGAATTGGGTGTATCCCATTTGTTGGTCCCTGTCAGATTTACTGTGCTATGGGAGTCCTATTCAGAAGTCTTAGCCTGTGCCTTTGGCTTCAAGTGTTTCCCCTATATTTTCTTCTGGCAGTTTCGAAGTTTGGTCCACTTTGAATTGATTTTTGTACAAAGGTCCAGTTACAATGTTCTGCACAAGAATACCCAGTTCCCGGCAGCACGTAAAGAAGCTGTCTTTTCTCCGGAGTAGGTCTGGGCCCTGTCCAGAAGCAGACGGACGAGGTTGTGCAGGCTCGTTTCTGTCCCCTGTCCTACATACTGGCGCATGGCTGTTGGGGGCTGGTTCAGTATCTTGACCAGCCTGTCACTTTTCTGCTTTCCTGTCTTTCTATCTGAACCACATAACTGTATAACCCTTTCATCATAACTATAGGGCACTTCAAAGTATTGAACCAATACAGAGTCAGATAAGAACATTATCTCAATACTCCCTTCTGTGATGGGGCACTGAATTAGTTACTGATAAAGTTTGACAACGTGTCCCACCTATCAAAGTATTTTATATCGATTACTATGAAAATGAATGGAGTTATAGTTTATAGGTATAAGCTGTCAAATAACTCATCAGGACCTTTTTTTTGTAAAGGCCCCGAGTAAAACCAAGCACAGTCAAGCACCCTCTGGATCCAGGCTCTCGGGGCAGCCAGGGCTCCCAGAAGCAGAGGCCCCATGTGTGCTGTGCGTGTCCTGGGATGAGGACTGGAGTTTTCAGCAGCCCCCCAATGGTGGTTAGAAGCCCATGCCTTCCCTTCCCTGACAGTTTCCTCTCCTGTGACATTGCCAGGGAGGTCTGGCTTGATGAAAGCCCAGAGGCAGGAGGGAGCATGCTGGGCCAGAGGCATGCGAGCAGCCGGCCTTTCCTTCCAGCTGGCTCCAGCCCTGCAAACACGGTGCGTACTTTTCTTCCTTCTTTGGCCACTGCAGCTCAAGTGCCTGAACGCACAGCTGTCACCAGGTCAAGGAAGTGCAGGCGAGCAGTGTCCCTGTACGGACAGCAAGCTGGCCGTCCCTGCTGTGGTGTCTTGGAGGGCCTGGTCCAGCACATGGACCTTGGGCAGAGCTAGCTGATGGTGCTGAGACCTTGGCCCCGACCTGCAGCAGTAAAAGCCATTTATGTGGGGGACGGCATCTGCTGATGAGACTGGGCCCAAATATGGTCCACTTGATTCAGAGGCCTCCCCACCTCTGCAAAGCAGCTGGAAAGAACGGACGCTCCAATGCACTCCCTGCCTGTGACTTCCTCCAGCCATTTCTGACCAAGCTTGGAAGTGTGTGAGCAGCTCCGCCCTGGGAGGCAGCTCAGATCATACTCTGGTCTCCTGTGCAGGGCTCTTTGTGAGCTTTTATCATTTTCATTTTAAAACAGCAGCAGAGCAAAGCACAACAATCAGCACGTGAGTTCTGAGCACCTGTGTGCCCTTCGCGTCTCCCCGCTCTCTGTGGGTCTGGTCCAGGCCTCTGTGAACTCAGGCAGCATGGAGGACTGGGCAGCAGTGCAGGTCCCAGGAAGAAGGTGCACCTCGCTGTGGTACCTGCATCTCGGCAGCCTTTGGCTGCAAGCCTTGATGGTACTGTGCCTGGCCTGCCTCCAACCCTCTAGCCAGCCTGTACATTTGCAGATTTCTTTCTCAGTACTGGGGATTTGCACCGAGCTATATCCCCAGCACCCTCGCCCTTTTTTTGGAGACAGATTCTCCTAAGTCACTAAGTTGCCCAGGGTGGGCTTAAACTTGCCACCTCCTGTCTCAGCCTCTCACAGCCCTGAGACCACAGTCATGGAGCATGCCTGGCTACACCTGCAGGCCTTTCAGTCTACAATGTATGTGGACGCTCATCTGAAGCAGGGCCAGACTCCCCCGCGCCACGCAGGACCTACCTCCGACCACTCTCCCGTGATCCAGACATACTCGCAGGGCTGCAAGCTGCAGCTCTCTCGGTCCGGGGGCCGCTGGCTGGTGCTACAAAGAGCGCTGTGAAGCTCGCCCTGGTCCTCGTCCACGCACACCACTCGGCGGAACCGGGAGCCCTCGCCACAGGTCTTGGAGCACTGTGAAGGAGAGCGGCAGCTGAGATGGGAGCCAGCGTGTGCACCCGCCGAGGCCTGGGCCGTGGTACTGCGGCACAAGGCCCGATCTTACCCAGGCCCTGATGTAGGAGCCTTCCAGGCATGGCCACTGGGATGAAGGGCAGGAAGCGCAGACCAGCAGGAATCAGGTTGCGAGGGCCCTTCAAGCCTGTGCGTGCCACACTCACCCAAACACTGAGTCTCTTTAACCTGGGGCCCTGCTGGGCATGCGATACAGGCCTGTAGTCCCAGCACTCTGGGAGGCTGAAACAGGAGGACTGCAAGTGCGAGCCCAGCTTGGGCAACTTAATGAGGCCTTATCTCAAAATGGATGAAGAAAGGCTGCTGATACAGCTCAGCATAAAGCTCTGGGTTCAGTTCCCAGTACCAGACACACACAAATAACCCACGGTTACCGAAGCAGTGTCTAAATACTCTAGTGCCCTTCCCAGCCCAGAACGAGGCTGGTCTCTGCAGATGCCCACCTCTTCCCTGTTTTCCACCCTAGGAGCATACAGCACCACTTTTGCCTCCCATCAGAAAGCCCCTACACTACAGGAATGGACGGGGTACTGGGTGGCCGCACGGCTGCCTCCCCACTCCGTCCCCAAGGAGGGGCTGGGTGGGTCCCCAGGGGCCCGGAGTGGGTGAGAGCAGCGCATTCCGTGTGTAGACAAGAGACCCACACGTGCGTCCCAAGAACAGCGGAGAAGGCAGCGCGGCTTAGGAATCACTGTAATCTGCATTTTTCACACAGAGAAACTGGGACTTTGAGAGCCTCAGTGAAGTTCCTGGTCACGTGTTTACTCCTACAAGCCAAGAGGACAGAGAGCAAGTGGGAGATCACTGCCCCCCAGGATGACCTCTCCACTGTCCTTAAAGTCCTGGTTGTTTGTTTTTCCTCTCGCCAACAGCAAGCCCCACCTGGGAAGCCCGACCTTCCTGCTCTGTGCAGACCAGGTCACCCAGCCTAGTCACACTGACGCGGGGCTGCAGGACCACACTCTGCCCACTCTGGCTCAGCAGTTGTGCAGTTTCTGTTTTCCTGAGTAAGCTGACAACTACCGTGAGGCGATGCCATTTCTGTTTTGCCACTGAAAAAATGAGTAAGAGTCTTGGGTGCTGAATGTTAGCAACAAAACAAAAGGTTACCCTTTGATGTGCAGTTATCTGCAGAAGAGATACTTCACTTAACCTCACTACCCAGACAAAAAGGGACTCCATCAAACATTAAAACTCTGGTGACTCAGAAGATCACCAGGCAGTTAAACCTGGCTGGATTCTCCAGTCCCTGCTCCTTGTCACTAACCCACTGGTTGCACTGTGTGTCAGTAAGTAACTACACAGAGCAGAAATGCCATGATTCCTAAAGAATTTCCACTTGCTAAGTGTTTTCTCCCTCAGCCTTGAAGAATGGTTAACTACCAGAAAAGTTATTTTGCTAATAGTAGGAAGGGATCTGGGAAAACTTAACCCAAATATAACTTTTGGGAAAATTAAAAGTTAAGCTAGGTAAATAAATGCCTTATCCCATGCTTTGGAATTAGTCAACAGCAGTGCTGAAAGATCGCATGGCCAGTGCTTTCTCCTGGAATTTTAAATCCTAAGCAGGCTGGAGGGCTGGGCAACCAGAAACAAACCCAGCCTATTAGCTTTTGGTAACTCACTTTGCCTGTCCCTTGTGATTTGTGACTCCTTCCGCTGTCCTGGAATGTGATCTAAAATGTTCTGAAATACAGCCAAGACGTTCAAGTAGTCTTATCTTGATTTCTAAAAGGTTTTCTCCAATGATATTATGGTTCTTAGAGAAAAGCCCCCATCAAACATATGTCACACATGTCTTCCATGAATCTCAACCCACACTGTAATTCAGGATGGAAATAACCACCATGCTGGGCTGAACTGGGCAACATGCCCATTGATCTTCAGGGCCCATTCACCTTTGAATATGTTGAATTAACGGGGCTGGGGAGGAATGACTTTCCAAACTTGAGGATGGGGAAGATCTAAAATAAACACTGAAGGTAACATTTTCTCCACCATGGTAGGTTGGCCACAGGATGATGGTGTAAACAGGATCATTTAATATAATAGGTAAAAACTGTCTTCCCTAAGAGATTGTAATCCAGATACAGAGATTTCTTTAACTGAAATACCGAATAGTTTCTTTGGTGTGAAAAACTATAATAGTACACAGGATCCTAATGAGATACTTAATAATGTGAAATAGGAAGTAAAGGGCTAAAGGTGTAGGGAAAGTGGGAAGGGTGGGGGAAAGGTAATAAGGGAGAGGAAAAAAATATGAGAAACTGAAAAAATGGAAATAAAGTGTTTGTAAAAGGGGAGGGGAGGAAGGGGTGAAGGGAGGGCAGGGACAAGGGTAATAAATGAGAATCAAGACCTGTCATGTAAGGTACAGGATCCCAATGATGAATGTAACTGTATTATACCAATAAACTCAATAGATTGTACCAATAAACTCAATAAAAAGAAAAAAAAAGATTGTAATCCAGTTGCTTTATACTTTCAAATATATTTTTTGGTACAATTTCCTAACCATGAGGGTAAGCAAATCATTTGATATTTTAAGGTTGCTGATTTTCTCCAAGGATGAATGTGTCATTTCTAGTATGACTAACTTCTGCTGGACATCCATCGATGGACAAGTCACAGAACCCAGCAGGGAAATGAACATAGGACTCCATGTGCTATGTTAAAGTTTTATGTCATAAGGAACAGCAGGACCAATCATTTATTTGTTTTATTTTGTTTTCCACTGTTGCTATAAATTAAAAACAACAGGACTTCCGGGAAGACAGCAGACTGGTGAGCAGCAGAAAGAGGACCTCTCTGAGGTCTGGTGACCAGGAACTGGAATAAAGCAACATGAGGAAGCGAAGAAGGAGGGAAGTGGGTCCCCAGGACCCAGGAAGGATTTTAAGAGAGAAGTGAAGCCCACAGGGAGAGCAAAGAGAGAGTACCCAACAAAGAAGAAAGAGGTAACAGGCAGCACCTCCTACCTAAGCCAAGACTCAGGGTGTGGGAAGCGCAGCTCAAACCTGCAGACAAATCATGACTACTGGCAACCCCAGAGACCCGCATGGACAAACACACCAGTAGAACAGAGTGGTAGACGCAGCAGACTGCAGTGGTTGGTCAGTTGGTGGGGTTCAGCCACCCCCAAGGAGAGAGAGATGGGCTGTAGCCATCTTGGAGAGGGGCTGATTGGAGCTCAGAACTCAGAACAGTGGCAGGTTGGCTCCATCTAGTGGCTTCCAGAGTCAGGGTCAGAGTTCAAGCCCACAGGAGGTCAGGGAGCTCAGTTTGAGCCATTGGGGGATGCACAGACTGTTGCAGGCTCCACAGGCTCAGTTCCAGCCTCACAGCCAAAACCAGCCTGAACTTCAGTGGAAGTAAAGGTGCATGCTTGCTGGGATTATCCACTACCCTGTTGTAAAGCTACTGCTGGTTTGCTGAGATTAATCAACTTGGATCTGTGTACTGCTGCTTTTTTCTACCAGTAACAGCAGAGATGGGCCTTGAAGTGGAGAAGCGGTCATTTTTTTTTCTTAAATTTCTCTTTTCTTGTTTTGGTTTTGTTTTTTCTTAATTGTTCATTCTTATTTTTATAGGAATGTGAACACAGGTTCTAGGTTTTTTAAGTTGTTTTCTTCTCTTCTTGTTTTTATTTCTTCCTTCTCTCTTTCCCTCCTATCTTCTTCACCATTTTGCCAAAGTTTGCACGATCTTCCTATGTCCCTTAGCCTTGCTTCTAATTTTTCTTCTCCTGTTTCTCTGTTTTTTCCCCTAACTCCTTTAAAAATTTTCCCTGGAGGGTAAAATTGCTATATTGAGAGGGCTTATTTACATTAAACATTTTCTGGTTTATTTTAGATTTTGTTATATAACCACAAATCTAGTTCATCATTTTCTAGGATGTGTTTGACACTATTGTTATTACTGACTGTACTACTTTAGCCAAGGTGACATAATTGTTCTAATCACTTGTTCTTCCTGGTATGCCAAGATAGAGATTGCTTTTGGGTTATAAAAAATACTATAGGCCAGTGCCAAAGAACCAGTGGCGAGGCCAAATAGGCAGCAACTTCTTATCCCCAATAAATGAAGAGGTGAGATCTCGCAAAAGACTCAAAAGCTAAAAGTCAGCTATAGCTGGAAGACACCTCTGAGAAGTAGTCATTTCCTAAGGATTCTAAATACTAGCAATAAAGATACTCATTATAAGCAATCTGCAAGCATTAATCTAGAAAGTAAACCAAAAACAAAACAAAAAAATACAAATAAGAAGACACTTAAACAAGATGCAAACTCAGACTTCCAGCTCAACAAAGGCAAACCCAGGGGACAACGAGGAGGAACAATCCAAAAGTCATCTACCTGGACTCCCCAAAGTGGTAACAGTAGAAATAACAAAGCAGATGAAAGAGAAAAAAATCAAATTAGAAATAATTTCTGAGATAACTACAGAGATAGTATAGTGACCATAATGAAACGCATTATTAGTGACTCTAGAGCAGATACAGATAAAAACAAAACAAAACAAAACAACATAGATGACCTTAGAAAAATGACAGAAACCGTGAATGCCCAGCATAGGAGAAAAATAATGTATCTCACAGAAATAGAGAAAACAAATCTAAAATTCATTTGGAACAAGAAGAGACCTAGAATAGCAAAGGCAATTCTAGGCAACAAAGGTAAGGCAGGGGGCATCAAAATCCCTGACTTGAAATTATACTACAAAGCTACTCTGATAAAACAGCATGGTACTGGGAAAAAAAAAAAAGACCTGAGAATCCATGGAACAGATTGGAAGATACAGAAACAACTGCAAAGACACCCAACCACTTTATTTTTGACAAACAAGCCAAACACCTTCAGTGGAAGAAAGCCTCTTTAATAAACTGAGTTCTAACTTTCTGAAGATTAAAACTAGACCTGTATCTTTTGCTATGCCCTAA